CGTTTTCACAACTGACAGAGCCACGATGAAGGACACCAAACCACTCCTTCTCCTTATAGCAGGTTACAACAGTAGGTGCTGTAACATGGCACAACTTGGCTGTCTCTGTATGTACATGACTGACTTGTGCAGCTTCAGGCACGCAAACCAGCAAACAAGCCTCTGATTACGTGTGTGCAAGTGGTCGCTACTTAAGCATAGTCAGAAGTGGTCAGTGGCATGGCTCTGAAAATCAGAGGCAGCCGGTATGTTCTGGACAAGGCTGCTGATGTGGATACATTGGTTTACCAGCTTTTCTTCCTCCCAGTCCGGAAGTTCTTCAAAGCACCACGAGGCCAAAACCATACAGATGTAGAAGATTATTTAAAGATCCTCCTCCTGTCTTCTACTACAAAACTGCTGTAAGCTAGCTTGCTCATGAGTATTTTCCTCTGGGTCCTTAGTCTCCAGAGTGCTTCAAGAACATGCCTTCTTGTCTTGCAAAGAAGTAGACTTGTTCCCTATGGTAATATATTTTCTAGATTCTGAATGAATCTCACATCTCCTGCTCCTTTTATTTCTTTGTGATGGAGATCTGGAGCATAGACAAAAGTAGGTGCTAGAAACACTAAAAATACAAGTAATTCTCAAAGATGGTAAAGGAGGTCTCATCTTGACAAAAATCTTCCCAGATTTATGTTTAAGTGTTTACAATATGTGCCCTATTCTACCAATTCAGAACCTATTAAAATGAGAAATCACATAGCATAAGACTCACTCATCTTTACATACATTGGACCTTACTCCACCAAAGGCTGAATTTCTCTTGGGGCACATCTAATGTCTTGTCTGAATACTTCCTCTTCTTGTACTACCCAATCTACAGCCAAGCCAGTTTTTGCATCCTCTTTTGTTAATGCTTGTCTAAATGTAGTGAAAGTAACGATATCAAACTTGTTTATTTAAATTTGTGTAGATGTCTTTGATTCGTACTATCCTTGATAAATCTGTGGTATTCACAGGGCAGTTTCAGAGGTCAGTGGAAACTACCGTGCTAACTCAGCTGTTAAGGGTGGCAGCAGGAGATGGAGTCTGCTTGTTGTGTTCCTTGGGTCCCAGAGCGAGGTAGCATGTTCTTAATGCTGGTTTTTTTTTTTTTTTTTTTTTTTTTTTTTTTCCTGGGCAACTCAATCTAAAGGTTTGGAGAATTTGTGCAGAGGTTCAGCAAGATTTCACTCTCCGACAGGGGCATGCAGTAGCATTTTCCACCTAGCATGCAGGTTTCTGTGGGACTGCACAGCGTGGTCAGGGGACACAAGTGCGTCAGTGGCATGCAAATGAGCTATTGCAGCTGCCAGTACTGGATGTGACATATATTGTAAAAAATGCTTCCTGATATTAAAGGTTGCATTAAATCAAGTACCAAAATACTGTCCTGGCTGCGAAGAGCAGATGCAGTATTTTGTTAGATGTTAGACAAATAAACTAGTATCATGCCAGAAGCTTAAGAATGAAACTTTGTCTTTAAAATACTGTAGTTTTCAGTCTTAGGCAAAATGAGACAGTATTGGAATCTTCTTTTAAAAAAACTGTTTATTTTCTAATTATTCTTTTTGCAGCACAGGACAGTCTCAAACATGGAAAATGTTTCAGGTGAGTAGTGGAAGAAATCTTGTCTGCACATACGTTGCATTGGCATGGCATTGTAGTAGATGTCCCAAAATCTGTCTGTTGGTGTTTTGAAGAACTGATTAATCATGCAAACACAATCTCCAGTGTCATTCTACATGCAAAGTTCTCTTTCTTCTGCTTCCTTTTGATTTTCTTTTTGGGTACCACCTGTCTTTTTGCATTAAGTGGAAAGACACAAATAATTTTTTTTAAGAAAAAAGGCAAAACCCAGATTGAAAGCCCAAGCCAAAAAAAAAAAAAAAAAAGCCAGTCCCTTCTGCAGTGCAACAAAGTGCAGTCTGCAACAGTCAATGGCTGATGCTAACTTAGATAAGCCAAAGTAGGTCACCTTCATGTGTCTTCCAGACTTTCCAACTTAGTAACTTAGAAGGATAATAATACAATTTTTAGTTAATGAGAGAACATCAGAAAAAGGAACTGCAGGAAGCTGTGAACTGCAATATCTCCTTATTGAAGGCAGAATGCCACATGGCAAGAACAGATGGGTAATCCTTTCGTGATTATCCTGGACCACTGGCTGAAAGGAAAAAGCTGTCACAGCACTGAAGGCTGTATATAAAGTACATATACATGACATTTCCCCTCACTGGTAGTAAAAGGTTATATATGCTAAAGGATTACACAGAAAAGGGGACAATTTAGTGTGATGGTGACGGGAGTAATTCTTCCATTTTCCCTTCATTCCTGAAGTGGAGCATATGCCAAGGTCCTGAACTAAATACGTCTCTCACAAAGAAGATGTAATATATATTCCACATACATACTACATATTTTATATAAATTAAACATAGAAAATACCTGCTTTTCTTCCCTCTGACTGCAATTATCCAAAAAAAAAAAAAGGATGATTTATGTTGCTAATTTAAGATATTGTTACTGGAACAAGATGTTGCTGTAACCAATTTGATTTCTGCATATATGTAGTGACATTGGAACTTGTGTTTCCAAATTGTTAAGAAGTGAAACAAGGCAGCAGCAGGTTAAAAACAGCTTCCTGGAATCTCAGGCTTTACAAGACCACCAGACCCAGAGGTGTTCTTTGCAGACACTGGTGATGATATCTCCATGGTCGTTAGCTCTGGCAGTGCATGCTAAGAGCGAACATGGCCTTTGTAACTCACTTGGCGAGGAGCTAGATGTAAAATGAGCACATAGACGTGAATCTTCAGGATTTGGTCATCTGTGAAGAGATATAATAATATTGACTGGTGCATCTACCTGAGTGGTCAAGAATGTAGATGTAAACCATAGAATGACCGGAGAATATAGTGTAAGGTGATGATGGTGCTGTGGTTTCAACAAAATCAAGATAGATTTCCTCTACTTCTAATGTATTGCAATATGTCATTTTTGTTTGTTTGTTTGTTGTATTTGTTTTGTTGTTGTTCTCCTGAGCAGGCACTGAACTGTACCATGAGAAGCGGAAATTTTTATCAGCCTCTCAAAAAGTAACTCCTTAACCTATTTTGCTTGTTCAGATTTGATGCATAGACCAGTAACACTAACCTCTCGAGGAAAAGGTTCTCCTCCATACACACAGTGCTTTACTGAAATGATAGGGGTGGTATGTTTTTCTTGTTAGTGACAGAAGTCGGGGTAGGAAGGGAGGAATGAAATTGCCACTTGAGGGAAGCATGCCCTCATCTCCAGGAGATATCTCTACTGTTACTGTAGATTAATTGTGGTACATGGCTCATGCTCATGGCTTATTTTGAGTATTTTCTGTTCCTAGGTGTTAAGATGTTTTGAAATCCTGGGGATATATACAAGTTTGCCAAATAGTCTAGATTCTTCAAAAATCTTGTTTTATAATAGAGTATATTAGGGACACTTGTCCTTAGAAAAATCAGTTCATTCCAGATATGCCTTTTCCCCCTTCACCATGATAACATATCTGCAATCTAAATTTTGATGCAACAGGGACATGTCTGTTTTTAAGAAAAATGCAAATCTTCACTCTGAAATAACTTAGTCTTTCACTGAATACAGAATGTGCTTCTAAACCATCTATGAGTCAGCCTGTGAGTTGGAGTTCAGATAAGCCGGTAGTGTTCATTCACCAGATGGACCATAAGCTCTTCAAAGTAGAGGAAAGGATATTGCTTATTAACACTGCTCTAAACTTCATTTATTTCCTTTGACATGATTCAATTTCAGACTCTGTTTATGTTGTAAATAGGAAGAAGGGTGTATTTTAATAACAGGATAGGTAGATCTAGATAAAAATGTTACTGGAACAGCATCTGGTTATTTATTTCTGTTACTCTGTGTAGCTCAGATTGACACCCATGTCCCCTCACATACACCCAAGCTGCATTATTATGCAGCTGTGAAGAGGTGAAAAATAGTTAAGCCAATTATCTGTTAGGATTTTACGGCAAATTAGCCAAGTCACATTAGTTTTCCTTGCTTAAAACATCACCTATTTGACTGCTAAGTGGAACCATGATAATACTTTTCTATTAAAAATCAAATCTATTTTCCCTCTTGTACTTTGTGCTAGATACTAATAGTCTCATGGAACATGAGCAACAGCAGAAATTTTCAGTGGTAACTCTCACAAATGTGCTCCATGTAGACAGATTAAGTCTTTTCTGATGCAACATAGCTCACTTGAGCTGCCATTATTCATGAATGTGATCATAGGACAAGTCCATTTTATGTTTTTAACTTTTCTGACATTTCTGATATGAGTTTATTCTTAGGATTTGTGAAGTTTAGTTTTTCCTTTTTTTTTTTTTTTTTCCATCTTCAAATTCTCAAGAATCTCCATCTTGCCTTTTTTACTTTCTAGTTTGAACCATTATAGCACAGGGAGAAAATAGTTGAATTATGCTGCTATTTACTTCTATTTGGCTGTTTTCTTTGGAAACAGAGGAAGGATGTTATGAGCAGTTAGCGGTCACTGGTCATAGTATGGTTTTAAAAATGAATGCTTTACCCCCTGCATTCTCCTATTTTACATAATCTCTGTAAATACAGGGGAGAGGAGGATGTTGTTGAAGAGGAAGTCTGCTCCCCTCCCTGCTCAGCACAGAAGCGTTGCCTGCTGGGGCTCCTATCCATACACTGAAGACTCAGAACTCTATGGCCTATAAATTAACGTGGTTTGGGGACAAACCTTTCCAGACATGCTTTTGGTAGCACACACACAGAACTGAGCATGCACAGCTACTTCACTGCCTTAATCAGTCACAGTGATTATATACAGAAATTAGGAAAATCCACAGATATTCTCCTGTATAAAAATTGCCTGAAAATCTCGGGGAAATTTTCCAGTAAAGATGGATCAAACTTTGGTCATAATTACCGCTGTGTTCCTTTTATAGTGAGCAGCATCACCCTGTGCTGAAATGTTGCCTGGTTGTCTGTGGTTTTATCGTCACGCATCATGACCTTCACCGGTGAGCTTGTCAGCCCAAGATTAACAGGAAGGAATCGGCTCTGCCGTCACACTGGAGAGCTACGGTAGGGGCGTGGAGAAAAAAAGTGGAAATGAGTAGTGTTGCTAGTGGCTGTAACCAGGAAGGAGATTTATAACCCTCTGAGCAAAAGAGCTCCTGTTAAAAATCCTACTAGTTATGTGATGCTTCTGGGGAAGATCTTGAAGCAGCAGTGGGAACACAGAAATGGCCTGTTACTGTTTAATGAAGAGTCAGCGCCCCTGCACAGCACACAGCATCTCACGGAAACATGCACAGTTTGTACTTCAGGTGTCAAAGTTGATGGTGTTTTTCTTAGTCAGTCTGAACCTGTGTTCAGTAAATAGTTGAATTCTGCTTTTTTAGCACTTCTGTGGAATTATTTTCAATGTCTCCCATTTCAGAAAGAGGTGAAGAGGATCAGAATTGGGCCTTAAGGTCTAAAGCTCTTCAAAGCTCGTGGTGGTTCTGCTGAAGTTCTGCCTGTTCAAAGTCTGTCTGTTGTGGCTCCCTGAGTGCCTGCCCTCTCCAGGCCTGAGGGAAGGCTGCATGGGGCTGCCCCATGCCAAGACCTCAGCTCCTCTCGCTGCTTTTGAAAAGGTACACACTGTTAATCCCAAACTGAAGGCACTTCTGTCTGCTATTTATCAGCAATTTACTTAAGTGCATTTACAATGCAGTTATTTGATGATTTTGAATAAAATTATCCATTAATATTCAAGCTCTGTAGACTGCCACATCAAAAGTATTTGAGAATACTTTGAATTTCTGTAGTTTTTTGTTCAAGCAATTCACTTTGCTGTGCCATGTGACCAGCAAATCTGATGTGTGTGCAACTGGTGCAAAGTCTGGCACTGCCAAAATTCATTATCACGAGATCTCTGCCCATAAAGAGCAGTTCGCCATCACCACAGATGGCAAAAATGGACACTGTCCCATGGCACAAACCGGAGGTGAGCTGGACAATGGCCAGCCTTCACACGATGACGGGTTTTTGTGCTGTCTTACCTGCAAGTTACTAACAGCGTGCTTTGACCTCTTCATTTAGAGATACCTTGAAGTCAAAGATGACTCTGACTGCGACCCTCTTGAAAACCGTGTTGTATTTGGGCCTGATTCAGAACTTGCTGCTCTGTGAATGAGGAGTTACAGCACTGGCATCGAGGGTTTCACACCAGGACAGAGCACCACGAAGTGAGTAAGTACCCAGCAGTGCCAATGGCAGGTGCAGGACCACAGGGCCCAGAACTGCCAGGCACAGAGCAATACCTTGCCAGTCTTTTTTAAAGATGTCATTTCCCATTGGAGACTCAAAAACCACATGTTAAGAACAATAGATTATTTATTCTTAAATGTCATACAACTGTCTGATAATGAGACTTAACAATCTCTTAGAAAGTAATTGTAACATTGGTAAGTCTTTGTCCAACTGTGCACAACTGCTGCAAAGCCAAGTGCTGGAGCAATGCTTCTTGCTTCTAACCTGCCGCATGCTTCATCCTCTTCTGTAACACTGTGACAAAAGACGCAGCCTGGGAAGCTATCTGTAGCCTCACTGGATCCTGAGGAATATTCCCTTAATACAGGATGCCTCTGAATCTTAATACTTGTCTCATGAATCTTCAGATTAGAAACTGAAGTACTTCCAATGTGAGCAAACTCCTTATGGTCTGCGCAAAATTTACTTTTCTACCATTTAGGGGAAGAAAAAAAAAAAAGCAATTGTCTTTATCAGAAGATACTATTTTTCACCTTTGGATTTGGTGTGTAAAGCAGAACGGGGCTTACAGAAGGAGGCACTGTGCGGGCAGATTAGAAAAGTCCGTGCTTCACTGCCATCATCAGATAATGAGATCTCTCCGATTAGAAGCCAATACCCGTGCGGGAGGAGAAGGGAGCAGCAGGAATCCCTTCAGAGCAGGTCTTGTGCCAGCGGGCAGTCCCTTACCGACACGGCCGGGCTGAGGGGGTCGCACCTCGCCCTTCTCACCGACCCCTCCGCTTCACGGAAGGGAAGCGAAATTACGGGGACCACCCTTGCTGGGTTGGAAAGACCCAAATCCAGCGGGGCAGTGCCGTGCCGGGGGACAGAAGCCCCGGCCCCGTCCCGCTCGGGCGTCGCCGCCCGCCAGGTGCCGCCCCGCCGCCGTCCCTCAGAAGATGGCAGCCGCCCGCCCCGCCCCGCTCCTCCCCGGCCCCTTCCCCTCAGGCAGGGCCGGGGCTCGCCCGCCGGCAGCCCCCCGCCCCTCGCGGCCGCTCCTCCTCCTCCTCCCCACCGCAGCCTCCCGCCGCCCTCCTTCCTCTCCCTCCTCCACCCCCGCTCCGGGGCTCGCCCCGGCCGCGGGCCGCCCCGGCTCCCCCCCCCTCCCTTTCTCTCCCCTCTCCCCGCCGCCTCCCGCGGCGCACACCTCCGCCTTCCTCCCCCTTCCTCCTCCTTCCTCCTCCTCCCGCTGCTGACGTGTGGCGCTGCCCGGCTGAAAACTCGGCGCCGCGGCGGATGCGGCGGCTCTCGGCAGCGCGGCGGCGGCGAAGATGGTGGCGGCTCCGTGCGCCCGGCGGCTGGCGCGGCGCTCCCGCTCGGCGCTGGTGGCGGCGCTCACCGTGCTGCTGCTGCAGACCCTCCTCGTCTGGAATTTCACCTCCCTCGACGCCGGCGAGGAGCAGCAGCGCGGAGGGGCCGGCCGAGAGAAAAGAGACCGCGGCGGTGCCGCCGGCGGCGAGAACCGGGAGCACCCGCAGCGCCGCGGAGCCGGCGCCCTGCACGGCAAGGCCATGGTAGGTGCGGGCAGGGCGGCCCGGGGCGCTCCGTGCTGAGGGGGCTCCGTGCCGGGGGTCGCCGCCCGCCCCGCAGGTGCCGCCGAGCCCCGGCCTCGCCGCCGGGCAGCGGCTGTGCCCCCCGCGGAGCCCCTCGCAGCCCCTCGCCCTCGCGGCTCGGCTCCTCCGGGTCTCCCCCCCGCGGCTTCGTCGCCCCCCGAAGCTCCCGGGCTCGGCTCCGGCGCGGTTCAGCGATGGGAGAGCTCGGGGGATGCTGCAGGCGCTGCCCTCGCTCCTCAGCGCGTCTCGTTTCGCGCTCGTGCGAACTCCCCGGGTTGTTGCTGAAATCCTCGGGGCCTGGGCACGCAGGGGGCCTGCCCGCCTCCCCCGGTGGTCCCCGGCTCCGGCTGGGTGGAAGGAGCCGAGCGGTGCTGAGCGCGGCCGGCGTGAAGCCCAGCACACGCCTTGGTGCCTGCCCTTCGCTCGGGAGAAGCTGCCTTTGCTTCCCTTGCAGCTCTTTCACAGGGAGGCTCAGGTTAAGTAAGTTTGGTGTTGTCCCTTAAAGTATGCACACGTTTTCATCTTTTTACATCTTGAGAGAGAAAGCAGGGGCTGGGGTCAGTGATGGCTTTGTCCCTGGAATGACCAGGGCAAGGTGCTGGGAGCCGCATCCGAGCTTGTGGGCTCTGTCCCCAGCACACAGGGCAACTTCTCAGAAAGGCAGCACGTACCTGCACTGTGTGTGCAGGGCCTCGTGTGTGTTCGAGATGGGAAATTTAAGACCCTGGCTCCCTGAATTCAGATTTTGTCTCTGTGCATCACCTTATGTTGGTGCTTACTGTGATCGTGAGCAAACTATTCAAACTGCACGATTTTCCTCCAGCACTGGTATCTGTCTTTTCTGGGTAGCCTTTCATTTGTTCATCTTCCTTTCATTCTCCTTGAGCATTTTTCCTTCTGGGTCTCTCCGTGTGGGTTAACGAAGGCCGGGCTGTGGCAGGGGTTTAGTACCGGCGCTGGCTGCTCGTCTGCAGCCCAGCACCTGACAACTCGGGGCTCTTTAGGAAATCCTCCTCTTCCATGGGCTCCGTGACACATCAGGACGTGCACTGCTTGCAGCTGTCCTACAAACGCCCTGGCCCTGTGGCTGGTTTGCGCCCGGTGCGCCGGGCTGGGCGCTGCGCTCGGGGCTGAGCGCGTCGGCTAATGCTTTCCGTGCCGCGGCCGGAGGATGCGACCGGTTGGATGCTGGCAGCTGTGAATCACTGCTTGGTGCACACAGATTCGAGCAAAGACCTAAAGATGGAGCACTGGGGCTCCTAGTAGAAAACGTGTCTTAAAACGCACACCGGCTGTACCAGCTTTCCCCTCGCGGGGAGACACCGGGTGTCCCACAGCTGGCGTTGCTGTAAAGAACCGTGCCCAGGGCGAGCCCTTTGTCCAGGTGATTGGGCAACGTTTCTTCAGGATGACCTTATGGCACTTGTGGCTTTGCCTGACCTGCTGGGAAGCAGCTGCTGCCCTTAAACTACTTGATCAGTACCTAAAAGCCCACGCTTAAACACCTAGCGATCAGTTACGGTGTGAGGCAATTTCTGCACAAACGGCCAGGTGGCTCACTGAAGGTTCAGCTCCCAGGTACTCCTGACACGCAGACAGCATTGGTCTAACCCTGCATACGCTGTCTGTCTCAGAGGCAGGCCCAATTCTGATTTCAGACTCATTTCACGAGGAAAATCTCTGTTTAATGGAATTACATGATACAGAATCAGTGTGAAAGAAGATTTTTTTTTCCTTCTTCCTGCTGCTTTGTTTCCACATTAAAATTTAATTTAATGTAATGCCCAAGCAAAGTTGCTATCCTTTTCAACCTAAGGTTCCCATAGTTCGTGTATAGCAAATTGTTTTGCAACACTTGGAGGAGCTGGCTGGGGCGAGCACAGTATTGCCTTTGTATCCAGATGTCGTTGGGTTAAGCATGCCTAAGAGCCTCTCCAAGTGTTTTCAGATTTCTCTCTTGCATTTCAACCAAAAAAAGAATATTAATTTTAATGTTTCTTTTGTCTGGTAACGGAGTGGTGTGTTTTAAAATATCTTTGGGGAGTATTTTCTGAATAGGCTGCTAAGTGTTTGTCTGAGACCTACTGTTTGGTCACTGTTCTCACTCTAAGGAAAGCCTGTACCCTGGAGGAGCCTGGCTAGCTGCTTCTACAGGAGCCTTTATGCTAAATAAAGCTACGCAAACCAGATCTCCCAAACTTTGTGGGAGAGAGCTCTTCTTAAGCCCATGTCTGAAAGTTGCCATGTGAGGTTATGTGTTTTTTTCATTTATTTTTGTCTCTGACCTACATACAGGACTAAAATTGTGGTACATGTTACTGAGTCAGACATAAGTAGTGCAAGGATTTGGTCATTTGTGTCTGTGGGAAAAGAAACATCACTCTTTGAACCAAGTGTTTAAGAAGCATTCAGATTTTTATTAAATGCTGTCAGATGCCTGTAATAAGCCATTTCATTTGAAAAATAGAATAACATTGTACTGTTGGGAAAACAAACAAATTGCCGCTGTACCTGTGCCTTATTGAATATGAGTTGTCACGTTGGCAGGAAGAAACATTTTAAATTGAGCTCTTTTGCAACTGAAAACATTTACCGTGCTGGATCCCGTGGCCAGCTGCATCTGGAGCTTTCATTAGTCATAAGCAGTTTCCTGCGGTTGTTCGCGTTTAATTAACCCAAGTTATAGATATCTGTAAAGAAGCATGAATTGTATCAGTAGCAGTGACTTCAGTGGGTGCTTGCAGCCGTGTGTGATTTTTACAGCTATTAGGCACCCTTTGCACAAGCTTTATTTGTTCTGCAGAGCTCAAGCATTACAAGCAAGAATTAAACAACAGCATTCTGTGAAAATACTCTACGCATGCTGCTCGGTCTCAGGGTCTTTTCGTGCAGCCTGTTAGGGGTGGTGGGAGAGTCTTGTCAGCGGGAGCTCTGCGCTGGGAGCCCGAAGGAAAGGAGGAGGAATGCAAATCCCTGCTCCGGGGCTGCTGGTGACGAGAGGGAGGTGACAGCAGAGCATCTGCCAGAGCCTTGGCTCGTGCCGCAAGGCAGCCGTGTGTGTGGGGCTGTGCTCGCTCGCCCAGCTGCGGCCTCTGCCCTAGGATCCTTCGGTGGAGGCGGTGGCTGGGGCCACGTACCTGCTCCATGGTGCCTGGGCCCCGTGGCACCGCTGGGTTCCTGCTGCTCCTGCTCACCGCCAAGCTGAGCGGCAGCGCGTCGCTGCTTTGTCAGCCCCATGAATTACAGCTGGTGCCTGCTGGTGTAGGATCGAAGCCTTGCTGTAGCCTGAAACGTTGGGTATTCCCTTTAGAGAAATGGCATGTTTCTCTCAGCGTGGAGCTGTCTAGGGCACCAAATGTAACTACTGATAGCTGGAAATATTCAGGAGTGGGAAATGCGAAGAGAAAGCGTGCCTGGGGCAGCGAGGGTTACCTGCTCCAACTCCAACCAAAGCTGAGCTGTGGAGGGCAGTGCTGAGGATCTGGTGCCTCTCCCTCTCGTTTTCTTTTCTGCAGGGGGAAACGTGGTGGTGGCTCTGCTGGGGCTGTGGAGCATTAGGCTGGCTGTATTGCTGCTCTGTGGCTGGGTCAGGTGAATGGGCTCAAGCAGGTGCTCGGGTGCAGTCCTGCACAGCCTCAGGACTGGAGCCTTGCTGCGAGGTCTCGTGTGGAGTTGCACATAAATATTAAGTGACTTGTTAAGCTCCAGAGAATGAAAGAGACTTTGCGGAAGGAAAAAGAAGTGATTTCACCCCTAACTTAGCGTGTTTGCTGACATCAGTGAGTAGGTTCCATACGATACATCACAGCCAGGTGGCACCTACCTGAACCTCTTCCCCTGTTGATGCAGACGTGCAGCCTCGCTTATTTCAGCTCTGAATGCAACAAATGGGAAGGGTTTGGAAAAGTGTCCAGACCTAAAAGGTGCAGGGAAGCTTAATGCCAGCTAATGACTTCTGTGTGAGCCTTTGGTCTGGTGTGCATCAGGCTCTGGAGCCCAGGTCCTTGCTGGTTGCAGCACACCTGTGGGTGTCAGTGGAACGGCTGAGCTGAGGCACCTTTGGGTGACTAAAATTCATGGCATCGAGCTACCAGGGGGCTGAACGTGATGCATGTTCTAGAGAATGGGTCTGTCGTGCTGACTTGGCCATTAAGGACAGTTTTGCTTGTTACCAGGAGCTTCATCACCCGGCACTCCGACTTTAATAACAATGGAAAAGGAGAATGGAGACAGCTAATTATTTTGTAATGGGAAGTGGGGGGAAGGATACATCTGGAGCTGGAAGCCGCATAATGATTTTTACAAAGTCTTGGCACTTAACAAGGCACATTTTAATGCAACAAATCTTTTCGGTAGCAGAGAACTAATATTTGCATTATTTAAGAAGAGTGTTAGAACCAAATTAGATTGATGGACTCCTGCAGCAGTTACCTCATTAAGCATCTTTTCTTTGGGGATGTGGGAAGGTATTATGTGAAGTGGATCTGTGTTAATTGGTTATGCCATCTGAAGTCTTTTTCAGGCCACTGGTGTGTGTTTTGTTGCTTTTTTCCTTTAATTCCTTACTGTATGATGGGTTTTTGCAGATGTTCTCTTTGAGGTAGAGGCATATTCATTCTCTTTTTTTAAGCAAGAGAAGACCAGCTGTTGTACAGGAGACATACAAATTCCATTTACTTACTGTCAGGTATTGCAAAATGGTTACTCTTTAGTATAAAAGGCTCTCATTATCTGCCACATCTCTCAGCTGTCTTGAGAATTATTTTTCAAAATATTTTTCCCTTCTGTATTGAAAGTCCATGATATGTGCTACAGCATCTTATTAGTGCTTGATGAAGAGACAGGAGTACAATGAAAGCAAGAAATCAGCTTAATTTGCAAGAATAGTCAAGTTATATAACCTCAAGGATTAATTTTAATCAAATACTTCCTGATTTTACTTTACGGTGTTAAGATTAGGT